TATTTCTTTCTAATTTTAATACCAATTAAAACAAGTTTTTATATTAAACTACCTTAATTTAAAACATAAAAAAACAGTTTTAGTTTTAAATTCAATTATTAAATAAACAAAGAAGTTTTTGACTTCGATATAATCAAGTTTGAGAAATTTGTTTATATATCCTTTCTTAAATAAATATATTAACAGTTTGCTGTTCTAAATATTTCTTTTTATGATATTATATTTTTAGTTTTTCTGTTTTTAGTATATAAACCATGTAACATTATATATATATATATATATATATATATATATATATATATATATATATATATATATATATATATATATATATATATATATATATTACGATTGACCCACCCTAAAATGTATAAAATCTCCATGTTGTAAAATCGGTTTTATTTGAAATATACTTATTGTTATCTTGTTAAAAAAAAAAAAAAAAAAAAAAAAAAAACGTTGTGGGCCCACGTTAAAAATAAAACGTTGCATTCAATTTTATCTCCGAATAAAATTGAATGCAACGTTTTATTTTTAACGTGGGCCCAACAACGTTGGGTCAACGTATAAAATCATAAAAACATCGAAAAAATTTGACTGTTTTCACTATCTTAACCCAACGTTGGGCCCAATAACGTTGGGTCTACGTAAAAAATAAAACGTTGAATCAACGTAGAAAAAATAACTATTTTCCGACTTTAAATAAACGTTTTATCAACATTAGTTTTTAGTTGTTGGCGAAGTCGCATTTGTAACCATAATGATATAAAACAACGTTGGCAGGCGATGTTGAGCCAACGAAATGCACGATTTTGTTCTAATGTTTTAACAACGTATGTGTGCTAGCTGGGGACGGATCCACGGAACAGGAAAAGGGTGGCATGCATCTTTCCTTCACCAGAATCTGAAAGTTCTAAAAAATCTTAGATATGGAGAAGATTTTTTTTTTCTTTCTAGGAACGCAAATGTCAAACAAAATACAAAAATATTCTAACAATCCCCCGTCACTGTTTTTGAACTTTTTAAAAAATTCTTTCTCTACCTTTTGTTATAGTGTATAATATCTTTACATATGTTATGTATATAATATTTATAAAACTTCAAAAGTCTTTTATTTTTTACTTTAGGAAAATCAAAAATTTTAAATTTAAAAAAAAAAAACGCCAGTATACTGGCGTCTTTTTTTTTTTTTGTCAAGAAACCTATTAGTTTTCTATTATTGTTTTGTTGACTGCAACAGTGCACTACACAATTTGCGATAAAATAGATATGTTAACATGAGTTTTTACGTTTTATTATAAAGTAATGTGTCTAAAATGGTAAAATGATACATCAACTAAAGGTCTAACAGCATACACACATGTTTGTTAACGTGTTGAACTTCTAAGAATCTAAGTCCAGATCTAAGTCTTGTGAAATTTTTTGTCTGAGTCTAAAGTTATCTTTTTGATGCTTTTCGGCTAAGCAAGCATATAGCCTTATAAACGTTTTAAAACTTATTAGCAAATAAAAAAGACTGTATAAAACCGAAATAAATGTAACAGATCAAATTTAAAGAGGTGTTGCCGCTATGCCATTTTTAAGTGAAAGTAATACTATAAAACTTGATAGAAGTTTTAACATTATATATTTTGAAGTTTATGTAAGTTAGATATTTGCATAGACTTTAGTTCACTTTTCTAATGGAAAAAAGTGTTGTGATTCTTTCTCGCGATTAACTCGGATGTAATGGCTGCCGTGAGTTCCTATGAAACCCATAACAATATAATAGGACCTCTAAAACCCATAACAACATAAGTTGAAGTATATCACTAAAGATGTTTAACGTTTAAAAAAACCACTTCGTTCTCTTACAGCTGTTGCATTGCCATTTACTTTTATTCTTTAAGAAAAAAATATCAAAAAAACTTAAAGAAACAAAATCCAATTTAACAAGTTTATATTTTATAAAGACCTTTAATTCTTATGAAAGAAAATAATATTTGAAATAAAGCTTCAGCTTATTTATTATGTTGAACTTATGATAAATTTACGTCGAAATAACGTTGATTTTAAGACATTTAAGTTAAAACATCTGTTATATTATGTAAACTTATCCTTATATAATTCTTTATAAAAAAATACAATATTTCTTGGGGTTATATATACCCTAGTTATTCAAGTAATGTAAAAAAACCGTTAAAAAAACAAAAAAAACAAATAATAAAATTTCAACGTAATGTGTTCTTGCGTCTTAAATAAGAAAAATAAGGTTTCCAAAACGACAACGTGACGTAATCGCAGTCGTCTTCATTCAAACCATCTTCGTTTGGAGAGCACTGGTGATACTGAATTTCCAAAGACTCTTTCACTTTTCTCTTAAAATAATCTACCTCTACTTTAACAGTGTTGTTTTTATTCCAGCTAAAGGTACCATGTCAATTTCTGGAATGCCCCGCTACAGCCGGATATTTCCATTTTCCTTTAAAAGTATGTTTTTGATGTTGGTTAATGCGATTTGAAACCTTGAGTTTTTTTTCACCTACATAGAGTTTTCCACACGAACACTCCAGTTTGTAGACTCCTGGATAAGAGTTGTTGGGAAGTCGAGGCTTGTTTTTTTAAGTTAATAGTTGTTGAAGGTCTTTTGGTGATTTAAAAACTGAAGTATAGTCAGCATTTTTAAATGTTTTTTTTTAATTGAACCAATTTGAATTAAATAACGAGGGTATATATAACCCTTTTTTTTTTTTTTTTTTTTAATATTTTAGTTTACATTTGTTAGTTCGTTCTTACAATATAATGAGAGTAAATAAAAAATTAATGCAAATTATAAAGTAAGCAAATACTACTAACATTTGAAAAAACTAGGTATCTGAAAGAAGATCAGTAAGATCTTATCGTCAGAACCTTATACTAGTGTAAACAAAATATTATATTATAAAGTAACTATAAGTACAACAAAATAAAAATAAAATATACATACAAATATCACTTTGTAGTATATATAATAAAGTTTAATAAATATTTCCATAATATAAATATTATTGTCAAATTTTGATAATACGGGAGAGAAAAAGCTTAAGGTGGTACATCCCCATTAATTTTGAAAATTTTTAGAAAAAATTGATTTTTTGAAAATTGGTTTTTTAAATTTAAGATTTTTCATAGAATAATATTATTAATTTTTTTAATAAATAAATAAGGAAGTGTGTACAATTATTTGTTTTGTGGCCATAGTAGATTGAGAAGTCCGTAGCAACGCCATAGCAACGCATTTTAAAACAAAAAAATTTAAACTTGCTGAAGCTTTTAAACATCAAAAACTTTTTTCTACTGCAGCTTCTTGTTTGTTTTTTGCTTCGTGTTTATTTTAAAGCTATAACTTGAACTACTAATGCAAACATGTATCAAAATATTGTGCTTGCATGCTGTTTTAGTTTGTTAATTTTCTTATAGATAAATAGCTAAATAAGATATGGGACGTTCTATAGCTCAAACTAAAAAAAGAAAGTTTTCTTGTAATCAACATCTAAAATCTTCAAAGTTTATTCAGCTTGATTCATCAATTTCTGATCCAAATTTATCAGCAAGCTCCAGAAAACTAGTAAACACTGAAATATCTGGAAGTCAAAAAAATTACAATATCATTATAAACATTATTATTTGAAAACTAATGGTTTGTGAGTTTAAATACCCTAAATGTGGAAATGAAGTTTTTTTGGAAAATGACTTAAAAAGCAAGAAAAGTTTTTGTTTTTATTTAACTTCACAGTGCCTTTGTTGCCCATTTAGCAAAGGATGGCACACGTCTCAGTTTTCTACTAAAAAAATCTTAAAGTACTCCAGGTGTTCCTTCTGCATCAGTTAGTTTTCAAGTTGTTACTGCTTTTCATGAAATTGGTAAAGGTTATCAATCTATATGCAATTTTGCTGCAGTAATGAACATGCCATCTCCTATGAATTTTAAAAACTATAGTGCAATTAGTAACAATTTGTTAAATATTTATAATGAAGTTGCTTCTGCAAGTATGTCAAGTGCAGCCAATGAAACCAAAGGTATTATTTCTAATTCAAGCAATGTTAATGATGTTTCTGCTTGTCAAGTTTCTGTTGATGGTACCTGGCAAAAGAGAGGCCATCAATCTATAAATGGTATTGTCACTGCAATATCAAGAGAAAATGGAAAATGTCTTGATTCAATTTTGTTAACTAAGTTCTGCAAAGCTTGTAGTTATTGGAACAAAAAAAAGTATACAAATCATAAAATATTAAAAATATTAAGTTCGTAAATATTAAGTATTCTCATATCAGAAAAAAGATGTTTAGAGTGAGAAAAACGATCAGCAAAATTAATTACACGTATTGCATGTTTCTGACGGCGATAGAGAGATTGTAACTTACTTTTTTCCGTGCTTGCCCAAGCAATATTTGCATAATTCATATAGCTATGAATGAATGCATAATAAAGTTGGGATAAAACTTTTTTATTTATATAGATTCTGGCCTTATAAAGAATTTCAATATTTTTTAAAACTTTAGTACCAACATAATCAATATGTTGCTTCCATGTGATGTTCTCATCAAGCAATACGCCTAAATATTTTGTGGTGCAATCTCTTTTTATTTTAATATGGTCAATAAAAATATCAGGTAGAGTTGGAGGTAAATAACGTTTTTTAGTTATCGAATGAAAAAGAATCCATTTTGTTTTTTTAATATTTAATCCATTTTGTTTTTTTAATATTTTTAATATTACCCTCAGAAATATTGTGATTTATTATAAAGAATTATATAAGGATAAGTTTACGTACTATAACAGATGTTTTAACTTAATTAAATTATATAAAAACTTATCTAAGATGTTAACTTTTAAAAAATACTTTTGATCTTTTTCGTTTTGCGTTGCGTAAATTATTTAGCGTTGCGTAATTTATGGACGATCCTTATTCAACCAAATCTCAACGTTAAAAGAACGTTATGTGCTTGCTGGGATAGAGGTTTAAGCTTTGTCTATAATGCAAAAAAATTATCATAAGATCTAACAGCTTTTTCATCAGAAATTGTCTTTAATGCATTAAAAGACAAAAAAAAACATGGCACAGTAAGCAGAATTAGATTGCAAACACTATACTGATCGTAAATAAAAGGTGAAGCTTTATTATTAAACGTAATCAAAAACTTTCGTTTTGAATTAAAGATTGATTTTTTTTACATTAGTTCGTTTGGAGTTATCTGGAAGAAAAATTTTATAAATATTATTAATAACGTTCAATCGTTTTAAATAAAAGATTAATTTTTTTTTTTTCTTTATTGCTGTTCACGGTTATTGCTAGACGATATTTTGTCTGACTTCAAGTGCTTTTTGTATAGAAAATCAGACGATTATGCAAAAAAATATTTGTTAAACATTTTTAATAATAGATGTACTAAAGCTTTTGTAAAAAAAAAGTAAATAAAAATGTATGAATAAGAAAAAAATTAATTTATCTTTTACTTTAAAACATCTTTCTTTTTATTTAACATCAAAGTTTTTTTCTAACAACAAAGTAAAGCCGTAAGAAATTGTTCTGGTTTATTGCAAAAGCAGTAGTGCATAAACCAAACTTTTCTCGTCTTACTTCCAGAAAAAAATTCAGACGAAATATTGTCTTAGTTGTTGCATAATTATACACTAAAATTTTTTAAAACGCTTTTTTAAAACTTTTAAAATGTTATTTTTACTTATGTACTATTACATATTGTACAAAAAACTGTTTTCACATAAAATAAGATTTTTTGGTATAAAACATATTTAAAATATAATAAAAAAAATATTAAAAAATTATATGTATATAATATAAAGCAAATAAAATACAAAGTAAATATATATTTTTTAATGCATGTATAAAATATATCTGTTATGCATTGAGTATGTGGTGAAATTTTTAAAACAAAGTGAAACATGGATAGATAATTTAAAAATTTTAATGTCTCTGAATTTTTGTTGATTTTGTTGTTTAAATTTTTGTTGCTTTTTTAAAAGATTTGTTTCATTTTGCACTTTTAAAAACCTTAGTTATGTTTTGTTAAGTGAAGTTGTTAAAAGTGTTGCTCACCATTTTTAGTTGTCTAAATGGGCAAGTTGACAGAGTTTGCAATCCTATTTGATAACAATCGTGAAGTATTTTATCCTGGCCAAAATGTGTCTGGTTGTGTCGTCATGACGTTAAGTAGTCCAATGGAAATGAGAGGAATCAAGCTAATAGCTCAAGGTAAAAACAAAATTAATGTACTTTTATGTAAGTTAAAAGGTAATGCAATGTGGGTTTTACTTTTTTTTTATACTGATATAGTTTTAAATAGCTGTTAAACTGATATTTGATGGTTTTGATTTGATGAATTTAGAGATTTTTCCAATTTTTTTCTTCTAATAAATCAAAAAATCTTTAATAAATCAAAAAAATTTTATAAATTAAAAATTTTTTAATAAATCAAAAAAATTTTAATAAATCTTTTATTAATAAATTTCATTAATAAATTTTATTAATAAATTTTAATAAATCTAAACATCTTTTTCTGTTGATGAGTTTTATAAAATTTCTGTAATAGTTGAGGAGTTTTATAGAGTTTTTTATATAACTATTTTATCAAATATGATTCTGAGTTCGATAACCATATTCTTAAACTTGTTGACAGTATAACTGCTTCATTACTATTAGCTTATTAAGAGTTCATATATTTTTTCAAAGTTGAGTAAACTGTTATAACATTAATGAGAAACTGAAAAGATGCATTTATTTTCAGGTTGTATGTTCAAACTAGGGTTACCAGACGTCCTCTTTTTATAAAAGAGCGCAGGCTAAAATAAGTTTTTGCTCCTAGTTGTCAATTAAATTTAGTTCTTAATTTTTACGTTTGCCGCCGTGATTAAATTCTAGTATGATTGACCGTCATGTAGTTTAGCAATCTCTTTTACAGAACAGAAGGGTGTATGGTAACCCTTGTTTAAACATAAAATCAGCTGCAGATTGTATGTCAGAAAAATGATTCCTATATGATGTCATAAAAGATACTACTTTTAAGTGAAGTTTGTTTAAGACTTTTCCAGAATTTGAGAATAAGAGATTCTGTTACATATAGAGGGTTAAGCGTCTAACCTGCCTATACAGCAAAGCTCATTATTCAATTTAATAAACACCTATTTTCCAAAAATGGCCTTATTTACTTTTATTGTAGATTTATTTTTAACTAAAATGTGATTTCATAATCCCTTTACTCTTCGAAACTTCGACTTATTTATGTTTTTACTCACTTGAGAGCGCCAACGCCAAGTGGGCAACTTTATGGGAACCAAATGGGTTGTCCACATCCCGCCCAAGGAAAATTGTCGCTGGGCATGAATATGGGTCTAAAATGCAGTCCATATGGGTTGCCCATGTGGGACCCACATGAGTCCAATTATTTATTTATTTAAATTTTTTTATAATATTTTGAATAATTATCTATTTAATTTTAAATTAGATATATATAATTTAATATGTAGTCATAATTATATGACTTGGGTCTAGCTTTATAGAAGTGAAACAGGAAATCAAACATACAAAGAAAAAGGTAAATGGTAATAAATATTTAGAAATATACCACACTATTTATTAGTAAATAGTAAATATTAGAGTAACAGTCAAATTTAAATGAGTAAATTCAAACTTTAAGTTTAGTTAAGTTATAGGCGTTATTAAGTCCTTTTCAAGAGGTGTCATTTTGTATACATTTTTGTTTGTGAGTTTATAAAAACTCAAATAGCGTATACTTTCAAAAACTTTTTTATACATAAAAAAAAAGAAAATTTTCCGTCTTTTAAAACTGACTTTGTAACTTTTTTGCATAAGTTCTCTTTAATGTTTAAAAAAATAATTTTCAAATATATTTTGAAACTCTTTTACTGCTTTTTTTTTAACAAACATGCGGCTAAGTTGAGTTAAGCGATAAATTTTTTCAATGATTTTCCAGGATTCATAATGCCTCACTATTGCGCGATCGGATGGCATTTAAATTTAGAAAATAAGATGTAACTTAACGCTTTTTTAACTACATATATGGGCCCTAATTGGGCCCCATGTGGGTTAACCCTTGAATACAAAATACTTTGTATCCAAGGACAAGCCTACATGAAGCCCATTTTGAGCCCATATGTAAAGCCCACATAGGGCCACTTAGGCAAACCCATATGAGCCCCAATAGGACACGTTTGCTCGGAATGGCGCCCGGATCTAAAATGAAGAGCGGCGCCCTCAATTTCAACTAACAAATTTAAATTTAAAAAGTTTTAAATTTTAAAAGTTTTGTGAACGCAGCAATTATTTATTTCTACAGCACATTGTAATTTTGCGTTGCTAATATTTCTCTGGATTGAGAAACGATGAAATTTTGATTGAAACAAATGTTTCAAATGAATCTTGATTTGATACAAATTTTTCAAATGAATCAAAACTTAATGTTATGATTCGTTTGAAACAAATGAATCAAAACAATAGTTTTAAAAGTATTAAAAAATCAATCAAAAAAACCTTTAAGAAAGGTAAATAAGACGCTTTAAAAAATTTTTTGAGCTTCTCTGGCCGCCCAAATATTGATGTCATTGTCGTAGCTCACATTTTTAGACAAATCTTCTTTAATCAAAGTAATCAAATATCAGCAATACATTACTGGCCGATTGTCGAACGAAGTTTTTTACAATTTTCAGTTTACTAAGCGATTGTTCACCCTCAGCAACTGACTTAGCAATAGTGTTAAAATTTCAAAGCACGATGCAAATTTATGGAAAAAAGTGTTCAAGCTTCTTCTAAATGATTGAATCAAGTATCTGCATTTGATTGCTTGCTTGCAAATTGTTTTGCGAGATAACTTCTTCTTTTTGTTCACATCTCTCGGATGAAACCGTGAAAGTTCTCATCTCATTCTCATTTTTTTAAACGAAAAGATCATTTTTATTTAACCAGACGAATGAAAACATATTGCCAACGGCCCTGCTTGTCTCAAATCTTGAATCAAGCTGCTTGAAACTTTTTCCCCACCCTCTCAAAGGCCCTGTTCCTTATTTGTTAGTATATGTTTTTCATCTATACAAAAGTTATACAAAATAAAATCTCCTTTTATCTAAAAAGTCTCCTAGTACTTTCTTAATTTGTCTTACTTAAAAACGTCCGCAAGCTATTTTGTCTGATGAAATTTTACTTTATTCAAAGCGGACAACTTACTCCAATATAGGACAACCTACTCCAAAGTAAAATGTCCTATCGGACAGTTTACTCCGACGGACAGTTTTTTCCGTGACAGGTCTCTAAGTTATGTTTAATTCGGACTGAAGAGAAAGTTCTTCTTTTTGAAATTTCAATTTTGTTATGGTCTCAAAGTTACTTTAATCCGAACCATAAAGAAAACTTTACTTCTAAACAATATTTTCAACCGCTTCTTAAATCATTTTGATATAATGCCTTACAGCATAGTAATATTACCCGAAACATTTTTTTATTAACCCATTTGACTAAAATTTATCTAGTCTTATTATAGAATCCAAATGCTCCATTTATAATGACTGATATTGATTGCAATTACAAATATACATTATGTAACACAGAAGCTGAACGTGATTTAGGTATAATGGTTTAATCGGATCTAGAATGGCACTCACAAGTTGATTCGTAACTAGCAAAGCCAATAGAATGTTAGGTTTTATAAAGAGAAAATTTAAATATTTAGATGTAAACTTAGTAAAAAAGCTCTATACAACATTCATACGTTCACATCTTGAGTTTGCGGTCCAAGCATGGTCTACATTCCTACAACAAGACATAGATAAAATTGAGATGATTCAAAAAAGAGCAACCAAACTAGCACCTACAATTAAAAAACTACATTATGAAGCTATATTAAATATTATGCAATTAACGACTCTAGAAGAACGCAGACTACGTGTAGATCTTATTCAACATTTTAAAATTCAACATGGCCATGATAAAATAAATTGGGTTACAAACAATTATCAAAACACATCAAATGAAGGTCCGGATTTACGACAAAACAAATTCAAAATGAAAAACAAACAACGACAAAACAAATTCAAAAACACCTTAAGATATCACTTATTTCAAAATTGAGTTGTAAATGCATGGAGCAACTTACCATCTTAAATATTAAAAGCTGCTTCAATAAATAACTTCAAAAATAAACTAGACAAATCTGAATTTGGCAGAAATTTTTTTTAAAACATAAACAAAAAGCAAACTGAGCTGTTACAGTGCAATATCTACCGTTATTGCACTTCACAACTGTTAACACCAGTTGTTACAGCTATACCTTATTATTATTATTATAGTATTTAGTTAGTCTTATTACAGTACTTTTAATATATTATTTATCCGCTGGTTTACATATTATTACTATTATCAAGGAATTTTCAAGCTATATTATCTTTATTTTTATTTTCACATGCACAATTTTCAACTTTTATTATTATTCAGAATGTTTCTTATATCCGTCACTACATGATTAAATCTTTACATTCTCGCAGGCAGCATTCTTTTTCTACTATTATTTATTAATTTATTTTTAGTGATGATTTTAAGTTGCGCGGGTTGTTAATTTTCTTACACTTTAGATTGGTTAAAAAAACTCGAATGAAGTATCTATGAAAGCGTTAGAGTTTTTAAAGACCTTATTGTGTTTTATTTAATTTTAAAAGGGTTTTTAATAGGGTATATAGAATAAAATCATTTTCAGTTCAGTTTCAGGCTCAGTACTGCCTCAAAAGATTTAAAAGTTTAAGTAGCTTAGTTATAAACTCTATATGACTGTTCCAAGATGTTTATTTTGGCATTGAGGGTCATTCTCATTAAACTACATTATAGAATACAGTTTTTTTGCTGTTTTACTACATTAATTTTTATTTTGGAATAAACCAAAATTAATATAGTGCATGTTTTTTTTAAAGCAGTTAAAAAGTTTCGACCAAGTTCATCATTTTTGTAAAAAATAATTGATTAAAACTATATAACAGAATTTAAGTATGATAGTTGGCAAGTATTTTAAAAGCGGTTGATAGATGCACCAACATTTAAAAACAAAGTTTAAAACTTAAATATTGGAAAATTTAAAAGTTAAGCATACAAGGAAGTGAAACAGAGGATAAAAAGAGTTAGGTAAAGCAGTTTTAGAATAAAAATTCTATGATTGCAAATAGTTTAACTGAACGTATTAAAATTGTAACTTTTTT